AACTCGTTTCAACCTAAGCTTGTTTAAACCAAGTTAAATTCTAGTTTAAACCTACTTTAAACCTATTTTAAACCTAGTTCCATACTAGTTTACACATATGGGTGTTAAAAACTATTTGAACTAGGTGAAAACAGGGAATCCTATTATAAACCTAGTTTAATACTAGTTTAAAACTCTTTTAAACATAAGCTTGTTTAAACCTAGTTAAATTCTAGTTAAAATCTATTTTAAACCTACTTTAATACTTGTTTAAAGGTAGATTAATAGTTGTTTAAACTTAGTTAAATGCTATTTTGAACCTTGTTTAATACTAGTTTAAACCTAGTTCAGTACTAGTTTAAACCTAGTTCAGTACTAGTTTTAACCTAGTTCAATAGTTTGAACCTAGTTTAATACTAGTTTTAACCTAGTTTAAAAGTAGTTTAATCCTATTTCTATATTAGTTTACATCTATGCGTATTAAAACCTAGTTAAACTAGGTTAAAACAAGGAAATCTTGTATAAATTTAGTTCAATACTAGTTTAAAACTCGTTTAAATCTAAGCTTGTTTGAACGTAGCTAAATTCTTGTTTAAATAGTGATTCCTACTAATTTAAAAGCAAAAAGTTAGTAATTAATTTGAATTAGTAAAAATGTTGACTAATATAAATATTTTGACATAAATATTATTATATTATAAATAAATATTATTATTATAAAATTGAGACAAAAAATGAATCAAAAGTGTTGCGTAACAATAATTTTGATTCGTTTTTTGTCTCAAGTGGATATCCATAGAAAAACTGTAATTAAAATTTCGAGAACAGAAATTTTAGATTTAACTTTGCAGCAGTTATAATAGTCTGTTGCTGCTCAGTAACAAAATACAAATTCAAATTAACTCCCTTTTTCTACCATATTCTCATTTTCTTTTTAGCTATACACAAATATTCAATTAATTTTTTTGTTTCTTTGTTTTCTCTCTTGAAATTTAGCATTCTTCTTCTTCTTCGCCGTTGTCTTCGTCTTCTTTTTCTCTGCGTGTTGAAATTTGAAAATTAATTTAAAAAAGTTAACGAGAAGATACCCGGAAGACGTCGAAAATGGAAAAAATCAAACGCGTTGAGAGATTTATTTTTGCATTCTGTTGATGTCGAGAAGATTATGGAGAATTGAGATTCGTTGTAGTCGAGGGAATTGAGCTGGATTAAAGTCTAGTCTTTTGATGACGGTCATCCTCACCTTTTTTTCCTTCTCTTGATTTTCCTTTTTTTCTCCTTTCTTGGTTTTTAGTCCTTCCTTCCCCTTCCTCGATGTCTGAAGATTTATGCATATTACAAAATGCTTGTTATTTATTTCTTACTATTTATTTTATTTTTCTTCTTAAATATCTATTTTATTATTAATTTTAATATTTATTTAAAAATTTATTTTATTGTTTATTTTCATATTTATTTTACTGTTTATTTTTCAATTATCTCTATCCTACGTAGGTCAAACCAAATTTTCTCTTTTATTAATAAGCTCCTGAATTGGCATTCTATATGGGTCCTAAAATGTTTTATGATTCAATTCCAGCCTGGTTCCAGTTAGGAGCCCTTGTTAATGACCATTTAAAGATTTGCAGTTATAAAACAAATAATTAAATTAAGCAAGAAGCATTCTTTTAATCTTTCGTATTTGTTATTAAAATATCGAATTTAATGTATTTATTAACTAGCCTCTATCTTAACTATTCTGAAACTAGCCTTAAACTAGTTTTAATCTGGTACTAAGTAAAATTTTAAACTATCTTTAAACTAGCTCTATTCATCCTTGAACAATCTTTAACTATCTTTATCCTCTCTACCTAGCTCTAAAGTAGTTTTAGCCTTGTGTAAATCTTAAACGATCTCTAAACAAGCGTTAAACTTTAATAGTTTATAGCTTGAGTTAGTTTAAACTACATTAAACTAGTCTTAAACTAGTTTTCAGTTTAATTTGGTATTAATTAGATACTTTCAAGAAAACTGTGAAACTAGCTTTAAAATATCATAACTATCCTGAATCTAGTTTTAAACTTGGCGTGAGGTTCTCTTAAACAAGTTAAAACTATTTCTTAACAAGCCGTAAACTACAGTGGATGTAACCTTTAGTTTGCCTTAAAGCAATTAGGAACCTTCTATAAGGCTTAAACTAGTTGAAACTAGCCTTTGCCTAGGTTTAGACTAGTTTATAACTAGCCTTAAATTAGTCGATAGTTGCCTTTAGGCGAGCTTTAAACTAGTTTTAAACTAGTCCTAACTATCCTGAAAACAGCTTTTAACTACCCTTAAAAGTTTTGTTTTAGTCTTTATTAGTCTTCAACTAGTTTTAAACTAGTTCTAACTATTCTTAAAGTAGCTTTGTGTTCTTAAACTAGTTTTAAAATAGTTTAAACTATTTGTAAAGTAGCTTTAAATTAGTTTAGACTACGGTTAAACTAGCCTTTAACTAGTTTCCACTATTCGGAAACAAGCTTAGAGTTAAATTCGAACGAACTAATGACTAATTTTATGTTTGCTTTAAACTAGTCCTGAACTAGCTTTAAACTAGGGTTAAACTAGCTTCAAACTTGTCCTAAACTAGCCTTACACAATATTTGTATTAAACTAGTCTCAAAAAGATAGCAGTAACCAGCGTAAAACTACTTTTAAACTAGTCTAAAACCTACTTTAAAACATTTAAAACTATTTAAAACATGTTTTAAACTACGTTTAAACTTCAAACTAGGCAAAAAAATATCGTAATTCGCCTAAAAAGAAGCTTTGAATTAGCCTTAAAGAAACTATAAAACAAGTTTTGAATTTCCCTTAAACTATTTTAGCTAATTTGAAACTAGTTTAAAACTAACTGTAAACTAGTTTTAAACTATTCTTAAAGTAGCTTTAAACTAGCATTAAACTACTTTTAAACTATCCTTAAAGTATTTTTAAACTTACATTAAACTAGTCCTAAACTAGTCTTAAGCAAGCTAGTTTCAAACTAGTATTAAACCAGGTTTAAACTAGTCATACACTAGGTGTAAACCAGCATTAAACTAGGTTTTAACTAACATTGAACTACCCATAAATAAGATTATTATTAAACTAGCTTTTAATTAGTTTAAAACTACTGTTAAACGACCCTTGAAATAGTTTTGAAGTAGTTTTAACCTAGCCTGAAATTAGCCATAAGGTAACAGTAAAGTAGTTTAAAGCTAGTTTAAAGATAGTTTAAAAATAATTTAAACTAACTTAAGGCTAGTTTGAAAGTAGTTTAAGATACTTTAAATGTAGCCTTAAATAAGCCTAGAGATAAAGTAGTTTGAATCTAGCTTTGAACTAGTTTTAAACTAGCCTTAAGTTAGTTTAAGTTTTCTTAAACTATCTTTAAACTAGCTTTAAGTTAAATTTAAACCAGCTATAAACTAATTTCAAGTTTTTTATAACTAGCTCTAACCTAGGTTAAACTACCTTAATTATTCTAGAACTAGCTTTAAACTAATTTCGACTTGGCTCTAAACTGATGTTAAAGTAGCTTTGCACTAGCCCTACTTATCCTTAAACAAGTTTTAAGTAAACTTTGAGGTAACCTTAGACTGGTCTTAAACTATTCTTAAACTATTTTTAAAGCCTTAAAGTAAATTTCAGGTGTTTTAAACTAGTCCCAAGCTAGTAGAACCTACTTCAAGGTTAAACTATCTTAAACTTTTATTTTCACTGTGACTTTGAATTTAACTTTAACTTTTGGTTCAAATATAAACTATATAAACTAGTTTGAAATTAGTTTTAAACTATTATTAAACTAGTTTTCAACTAGGTTTAAACTAGTATTGAACTAGTTTTTAACTAGGTTTAAAGTAGTTTTAAAGCAGTTTTAAACTAGAATTAAACTAGAACAAAACTAGTTTTGAATAACATTAGTATTAAATTAGTTTTAAATTAGTTTTAAACTACAATTAAACTAGTATTAAACAAGGTTTAAACTCGTATTAAACTAGGTTTTAACAATTATTAAACTAGTTTTGAACCAGGTTTAAATTAGTGTTAAAGTAGAATTAAACAAAAACCAAACTAGTATTGAAATAGGTTTAAACTATTATTAAACTAGTTTTCAACTAGGTTTAAATTTGTGTTAAAATATTATTAAACTTGAAATAAACTAGTATTGAAATAGTTTTTAACTAGGTCTGAAGTAGTTTTAAAGTAGTTTAAAACTAGAATTAAACTAGAACAAAACTAGTTTAGAATAAAGTTAGTATTAAACTAGTTTGAAATTAGTTTCAAACTATTATTAAACTCGTATTGAACTAGGTTTAAACTATTATTAAACTAGTTTTGAACTAGTATCAAAATAGAATTTAACTATAGAACCAAACTAGTATAAATCTTGCTTTAAACTGGTATTGAACAAGGTTGAAACTATTATAAAACTAGTTTCCAACTATGTTCAAATTAGTCATAAAAAAGAGATTAAGTAGGTTGAAACTAGGTTCAAACAAGTATTTAAATAGGTTTAAACAAGTATTAAATTTGTTTTAAACTAGTATTTAAGTAGGTTTAAACTAGTAGTTAACTAGTATTTAAGTAGGTTTAAACTAGTAGTTAACTAGTATTTAAGTAGGTTTAAACTTGTATTTAACTAGTATTTAAGTAGGTTTAAATTAGTATTTAACTAGTTTTCAACTTGGTTTAAAGTAGTTTTAAAGTTGTTTGAAACTAGAATTGAACTAGAACATAACTTGTTTTAAATAACCTTATTATTATTAAACTAGTTTTGAACTATTATTAATCTAGCCTTAAACTAGTTTTTAAGTAGTTTAAAACCAGTCCTAAACTAGCCTTAAACAAGCTTAGTTTCAAACTAGCTTCAAACTATGTAGTTTTAAACTATCCCTAAACTAGTTTACTAATTTTTTTCAGCGAAAATCCAAAAGTAAAATTCAATAAATTAAATCTCCCTTTTTGGAAAGGAACAAGGAAGACAATAAGGAACAAGAATCTTTAAATAAAAACTGAAATTATGTAAATTTCTTTTTATTATTCTTACATGAGACGAATTTATAGTAACAATTATGTACATTTTTGCCTTTTTCTCCCTATTCCCAATCTGCAAAAGAAATTTTCTCGATGGTATTTTTCTTTCCGTGAAAGAAGCCCCCCCCCTAGTATCTATATATACGTGTGTGTGTATATATTTTCCAAGAATGATTTGATCCCAGGAGAGTAATCACACGCTTAGAGTCAACCGTAAACATCACGCAAACCAACTCGCACAAAACTGACACGCAAGTAGCGGATCAAAAAGCCCTCAGAAATCCTTTGGATCGTGACGAATTCAATGATTAATCCCCCTTCCTCCCCCCACTCGACATTCAAACAAGTTTATATTCAAGTCCCCTTTTGCACTCTTTGTAAACCGAGGAGGTCTAACCTTGACCCCATAGAAACACACCCCAAAGGACGCCCGGTGCCCTTCCTGCATACCAAGAAGTCTCCCTCCCCCCTCGACGAAGGGGGAGAGGGGGGACCTTATATAAACAGGTGGCGGCGCAAAAGGGAACCACACACCTTCTCTGGAATTTCAGTCTCTGGAAAATCTTTTACACAAATCTAATAAAAAAAATTGTGCCAAATCTTTTTTTTTGGTGATGATTTTTTTTTTTTAACACACAGTGTTGTAAATTCCTTCCTCATCGTCAAGGCTACCGGAGAGGTCAGATATTTCGGAATGTGAAGCGTAACCACGATCCTTTTCCTTGGCGTTTTTCAAGTAGCGTGAATCCTCACAGATCTCGGCATAGATCGCCTCTGGTTTTGTTGTTTGTGTTGTTGCGGCTGTTGTTGGCTGTGGTGTTCGTGGCTGTGGGGTGAGACTATCTCTGACCTTGGAATAAGGCGGATCCAGATCGGACGATTGGAGGCATGAGGCATGCACCTCAAGGACGCTGGTGGACACTGACCTTTGCACCTGATGATGATGATTATGATGATGATGATGATGATGATTCTTTGATGAGGAGGAGGATGAGGATGATGAACCATTGTTGGTGATTGGAATTAGGGAATTTGCTTCCGATTCGAGACTGGCGTATCTTTCGGGACATCGCATGGCAATTTCGGGACGTACGGCGAATGTAAAGGAGGCGGATTTTTTTGCTGGATTACGATTTTTACCGCTGTGAGCGATTCTTGTGATTTTCTCGAGGAAACCGGTGGTGTGATTTGTGGTGGGACGATTACGATCGCGAATTGTTGATTTTTTGATGTGCTCTAAACTTTCGCGGAGACTTTGTAAGAGGGGTTTTGTTTCGGGTTTTGATTTTATTTCCTTGAGATGAAGTTCCTTGAGTTGTTGGCCGCAGGAGGCTTGGGGTGTCGCGACTCTTGGTTCGGTTGCTCTTTGATCTAGTGCTCTTCTGGAAACAGAATAATTTTGAAAAGAGTTTTTTTTTATGTGTGATGGTAGAGGGAAATATATTTTTATGCCTAAAACTAGCTTTAAACTAGTTATAAACTAGTCGTTAACAAGCATAACATTAAACTAGCTACAAAATAGTCCTAAACTAGTCTTAAAGAAACATAGTAATATACTAGTTTTAAACTAGTCTTAAGCTAGGCTTAAACTAGTTTTAAACTAGTTTTAAGCTAGCCTTAAACTAGTTTTAAATCACCATTAAAGTAGTCCTAAAATAACCATAAGCAAGCTAGTTTTAATCTAGAATTAAACTCGGTTTAAACTAGTTTTAAACTAGCTTTAAGCAAGTGCAATATTAAAGTAGGTTTAACCTATAGTATAAAATTAGTTATAAACCAGTTTTAAACTAGTATGAATACAGTTTTATACTAGTATTAAACCAATTTCACACTAGTATTAAACTAGTTGTATACTAGTATTAAACTAGTATTAAACTAGTTTTATACTAGTATTAATCCAATTTCACACTAGTACTAAACGAGTTTCATACTAGCATTAAAAATATAATATATATATATAAAGCTAGTTGATACTTTTTTAAGATTAGTATTTCTTTAAATTACAAAAAATTTAACGTTAGTTAAAATAGTTTTAAACTCGTTTTAAACTAGTCCTAAACTAGCCTTAAACTAGTTTTAAACTAGTCATAAAGTGGCTTTAAGCAAGTTTAGTATTAAACTAGTTTAATTCTAGGCTTGATGAAGACCAGTTTAAAACTTGGTGTCAGGTAGTCTTGTTTAAGGCTGAACTACCTATAAAATAGTTTCATACTAGCCTTAAAGAAGTTTTAAACTACTTTTAAACTAATCTTTAACTAACCTTAAGTTTGTTTTAAACTAGTCTTAAACTAGTCTTAAACTAGTTTTAAACAATCCTTAAACTAGTTCCAGTTTTCATACTAGTATTAAACTATTTTTATACTAGTATTAAAAATATAAGATAGTTTAAAAATAGTTTTAAAGTAGTTTCAAACTAGTTTAAAGCTATTTTCAAACTGCTTTAAAGCTAGTTTCAAAATAGTTTCATACTTGTTTCAAATTTGCTATAGGCTACCAAATGGCAAGTTTAAAAGTAATTTAGGGATAGTTTACAGTACTATAAAGCTAGCTATAGAATGGTTTTTAGAGTTACGTTAAGGCCAACTCAAGGCTAGTTTATAGTTCGCTTAAGCCAAAATAAAAATTTTTTTATATTCTCAAAGCTAACTCTATTAAACTAGTTTTAAACTAGTCGTAAAGAAGCCTAACATTAAAATTGTTTTACTCTAGTCTTAAAACACCGTTAAACTAGTTCTAAACTAGTATTAAACTAAAGTAGTTTGAAAATTAGGTTTAACAATAAATTAAAACAATTTTAATCATAGGCTTCTTTAAAACTAGTTTAAAAAAAGTTTAAGATTAGTTTAAAGCGAGTGTATTGCTAGTTTAATATTATACTTGCTTAAGGTTAGATTAGGACTATTTGCATGCTAGGCTTGTTTATGGCTAGTAAAGAACAAGTTTTAGGCTAATTTCCTTTAGTATTAAAATCAACTCAAGACTAATTTACGGTAAATGTAACACTAGTTGATGCTTCTTAATGGTAAGTATATCTTTAAATTATGAAAAATTAAACTCAACTTAAAATAGTTTATAAGTAGCTTCTTACTAGTTTTAAACAAGTGCTAAACTAGCATTAAGCAAGTTTATCATTAAAATAATTTTAAACTAGTATCAAACTAGACTTAAAGTATTACTAAATTAGCATCAAAGTAGTATTAAAGTAGCATTAAACTAGTTTTAAACTAGTTGTGAGCTAGCATTAAACTAGTTTTAAACTAGTTGTGAGCTAGCATTAAACTAGTTTGAAACTAGGCCTAAAGTAGCCTTATGGCATTTTAGTATTAAAAAAGGTTTATACTAGTATTAAACTAGCGATAAACTAGTATTAAAGTAAGATTAAAGTAAGATTAAACTAGTTTTAAGCCAGCATTAAACCAGTCCTAAACTAGCATTAAACAAGTTTGACATTAAACTAGTTTTATACTAGTATCAAACCAGACGTTAATTATTAATAAACTACCATCAAAGTAGTATTAAACTATCATTAAACTACCATCAAAGTAGTATTAAACTATCATTAAACTAGCTTTAAACTAGTATAAAATTAGACTTAAAGTATTATTAAAACAGCATCAAACTAGTATTAAACTATTATTAAACTAGGTTTAAGCTAGTATTAAACTATTATTAAACTAGGTTTAAACTAGTTTTAGACTAGTTTGAAGCTAGTATTAAACCAGTCCTAATCTAGTATTATGCAAGTTTAACAATAAACTAGCTTTAAACTAGTATAAAACTAGACTTAAAGTATTATTAAAACAGCATCAAACTAGTATTAAACTATTATTAAACTAGGTTTAAACTAGTTTTAGACTAGTTTGAAGCTAGTATTAAACTAGTCCTAAACTAGTATTATGCAAGTTTAACAATAAACTAGTTTTAATTATTAAAATTATTATGAATTCTTAAATTTTATATTATTAAAACAGCATTAAACTAGTATTAAACTAGCATCAAACTAGTTTTAAACTAATATTGAACTAGCCTTCAAATAGTTTTTAACTAGCTTGAAAGTAGTACTAAAGTAGCCTTAAGCAAGTTTAGTATCAAAATTGGTTTAAACTAGTATTTAACTAGGATTAAACTAGCTATATCCTAGTATTAAAGTATGCTTAAACTAGTATTTAACTAGGTATATTCTAATTTTAAATTCTAGGCTTGTTTAAGACCATTTTAAAACTAGTTGTAACGTAGTTTTGTTTTTATTTTTTAGCATTATTCAACTACTCTTAAAGTTGCCTTAAGTTGCAGCTTAAGGAAATCAATAACTAAAGACTTTAATTATCTTTAATTATCAATAATTAAAGACTGCCAACTCAAGGCTAGTTTATAGCTTGTTTAGTCCTAACTTAAAAGTAGTTTAAGGATAGTTAGGGCTAGTTTAAAATTAGTTTAAAACTAACTCAAGTATAGTTTGAGAATAGTTTACATCTGATTAAGGCAATTTTAAAGCTAGTTATTGTTTTCTGTAAGCTGAAGCTAAACTAGATTTATACAGTCTTTAAAGTAGTTTTATTAACTGTTAAACTAGCCTTAAAATAGGTTTAATCAATTTTTAAACTAGTTTTAATCTAGGTTTAAAATCGCCTTAAAATAGTCTTGAACTAGTTTTAAACTAACCTTAAACTATCTTTGAACCAGTTTTAAACTAGTATTAAACTAGCTTTGAACTAGTTGTAAACAAGTATTAAACTAGTCTTGAACTAGTTTTATACTAGCCTTAAACTAGCTTTGAACTAGTTGTAAACTAATATTAAACTAGTCTTGAACTAGTTTTAAATTAGGTTTCAACTCGCCTTAAACAAGACTCTAACTAGTTTTAAATTAGTTTTAAACTAAGTTTAAACTACCTTTAGACTAGTCTTAAACTAATCTTCAACCCCCCTTTTTTCCTCTCTAGTTCTAGTTTTCTGAAAAAGATATTACAAAATAAAATTACCTGCATGCCGAGAGTAGTCTTTGCATTTTGGGCGAGGATAACAGACGCGATTCAGAGGGACATCCCAAACGAGCTCTTTTGACTCGTGGAGCCGTGGGTCCAGTGACGACCAATTCCAAAAGCTCCGGGATAGCAGTGTGGGGAAGGGGTCTCTCCGGCACCAGGGGTACGGCACAGCCGAGGACTATTGGTCCTCTATTCGCAGTTTCCAGCTGCATCAGACCGCTGTAGTCCCTGGGAAGAGGTATCGGAAGTGGACCTGCCACCAGACGAACCTGAAAGTAGAATTTATTTCCCGATCATATCACGTCGTCCGTCCCTGCCTGGTAACTAAAGTCACAGCGCACACTAGCCCTCCAATCAGACGCCAGCTGCGCGCGCAACTGTCGTCTCATTGGTGCGCGCTTTTTCGGTTCTCCTATTAGAAACTCTACCACTTGCGAGAAAGTTAATGGCGCCCTCTGGTAACTAATTTTAACGCAAGCTTTTTCAAATCTTAAAATATATTTTTTTTTGTTTTTAGTAAACTAATTTAATATTTTTAATTATTATCATGAGGGGAACATAGTCAAGGTTGGACCTTAGTCAAAGTAGGATCCCCGCTATTATAATTATAATTTCAAAATTATTTTTCGCTTTTAGTAAATTAATTGAACATAGTTAATTATTATTATTAGGGCAACACAGTCAAGGTTGGACCCTAGCTATAATATTAATAATAATAATTAAAATTAAACGCAAGAAATGAAATTAAAATTATTCAACAATCATAACATCTAAAAATTACGTTAAATGACATGCAATTTAGAATTAATAAGCGGAAAAATATTTTTGCAGTCTCTCACCCTAAGGGGAAGATCCCTCCTTGCGAGTTGATGAACCCTGTAAAGAACCGCGTCACTTCCAGTGTCGAGTGTTCCGCTTTGACAGGTGGCATAGAATTCCCCTCTCGTTGTGAGTGGAGCAAAGAGCTCGTGCCCATGTGAATCCAAACATTGGGCGTACTGATCTCTTTCCGATGACCTTGAACTCTTGCCTTCCGCAATTCCAGTTGAAACACCGGAAATACCCGATGTTGTGGGGGCTCGTCGCGTGTCTTGAAAAACGGCAGTGAGGCGTAGAACTTCACCGGCCCTGACCGTCGTCTTCGTGTAATGAGCTCTCAGATTACCGTTTTCTGTGACAAAAAAAAAATAACATTTCTTTCTGTTTAAAAGAAATATTACAAAAAAATGGAGGGAAATTACAAAACCAGTTTTGTCGATATACGGGTCTTTTTTTGTATATATATATATATAGAGGATAGGATCTACGTCATGCCCCTTGGAGAGTGTAATTTCCTTGACCTATCAAAAGGTGTTTAGTGTTTGACTGAAGCGGGAATGCTCGAATGAGGTAATAATGATTGCTTGGCTTTGAAATCAGAGGCCTAGCTTCTAAAAAAGAGGTATTCCTAGTAAAGTCCCTAGCTCCTAGTAGAAACCTAGTTTTTAGACGAGTCGTAATTAAGAGATGAATAGGCACTAATAAAACCTAAAAATCGTAGTTACGGGCTTGTTTCTAAAAGCCGCTGGTTAAAAACTACTAGTACCTAGTGAATCTCTAGTTCCTAGTAGACCCCTGGCTAATTAAGTGATTAATATCCCCTATCAAGACCAAAAAACGTCGTTAGAAAAAACTAGTAAAAACTAGTACCTAGTGAACTACTAGTAACTAGTAGATCTCTAGTTACTAGTGGACCTTATCGTTTTTTGAAGAGTCCTAATAAAAAAATTAATATCCCCTAATAAAACTTAAAAAACACAATTAGGACCTAGTTTCTAGAAGCCTCAGGTTAAATACTACTAGTATCTAGTAAATATCTAGTTCCTAGTTGACCCCTGGTTTTAAAGAGTCATAATAAAAAGATGAACATTCCTTAATGAAAAAAAACTGAATTATAGGAAAACAGTAGTAAAAACTTCTACTACCTAGTGAATCTCTAGTTTCTAGTAGACTCCATAGTTTTCATAGTAAATATCTAGTTCCTAGTTGACCCCTGGTTTTAAAGAGTCATAATAAAAAGATGAACATTCCTTAATGAAAAAAAAAACTGAATTATAGGAAAACAGTAGTAAAAACTTCTACTACCTAGTAAATCTCTAGTTCCTAGTAGACTCCATAGTTTTCAAAAAAGTCTCAATAAAGAAATTAATATGTCCTATTAAAAACCAAAAACGGTAGTTAGAACCTTATTTCTAGAAGCCTCATGTTAAAAACTAATAATACCTAGTGAATCCTGAGTCCCTAGTAAAACTCTAGTTTCTAGTATACCACTAGTTTTTTGAAGAGTCCTAATTAAGAGATGAATAGCCCTTAATGAAGCCGAAGAACGTAGTTAGAACTTAGTTTCTACAACTCTCAGGTTAAAAACTACTAGTATCTGGTGAATATCTAGTTCCTAGGAAATCCCTAGTTTTTAAAATAATCCTAAATAAAAGATAAATATCCGTTAACTAAGCCCAGAAAACGTAGTTAGGACATTATTTTTAGAAGGTCAGGTCCCAACCGCAGGTGAATAACTACTAGTACCTAGTGAATTTGTAGTTCCTAGTGAATTCCTAGTTTCTAGGAAAATTCAATAATTTTGCGAATCTTAAATTTCAAGGACAACTAGTTCCTAGTTTAACGTCTGGCTCCTAGTTTGGCCCCTATTTACTAGGAGCTCCTAGTTGAAAGGATATCTGGCTCCTAGTAAACCACTGACTCCTAGTAAGACCTCTAAATTTTGACTGCCTCCTGTTAAAAGATTACTGGCTCCTGGCAAGATTGTTAGCTACTAGTAAGACCCTTAATTTTTAGAAGTTCCTAGTTGAATAACCTGTAAATCCTTGTAGGACCCCTTGTTTCTAAAAGGAATTTAGTATAAAATTTCAATTAGCTGACTCCTATAATAAGAGCTCTAAATTAAAAGTAAAATCTAGTAAAGAGATTTTAGTCCTGTTAGGGAGCTCCCAGTAGGGAGTTAATATCGCCTACTTTCCAAAAGACGCTAATTTCTAGACACTGACATTATCTCCTATTAGAACCTGTTAGGGAGATTTCTTCTAATAGGTAAGTCTTTGTTCAAACCCCCAATTTTCTAAAAGACCCTATTTTCGAGAGACCCTTGAGAAAACTACCATTAGTTCCTAGTGAAACCTAGTAGGGAGGTTTTGATAGTAGTTTCCACTAGTAGGTTTAACTTCTACTATAAGGGACTAGTAAAACTTAGTAGGGAGGTTTAACTAGTAATTTTACTAGTAGTATTTACTTCTACTAGGCAGCTTCTAGTAGGGAGTTAAAAGCATCTAGTTTTTAAAAGATCCTATTTTCTAGAAATCCTTAATAAAACTAACATTAGTTCCTAGTAAAACCTAGTAGGGAGGTTTAACTAGTAATTTTACTAGTAGTTTTTACTTCTACTAGGCAGCTCTTAGTAGCTCCTAGTAAAAATTACTAGTAAAACCTCCCTACTATGTTTTACTAGTAATTTTTACTAGTAGTTTTTACTTCTACTAGGCAGCTCCTAGTAGGGAGTTAATAGCATCTAGTTTTAAAAAGATCCTATTTTCTAGAAATCCTTAATAAAAATACTATTAATTCCTAGTAAAAACCTAGTAGGGAGGTTTAACTAGTAATTTTTACTAGTAGTTTTACTTCTACTAGACAGCTCCTAGTAGGGAGTTAATAGCATCTAGTTTTCAAAAGATCCTATTTTCTAGAAATCCATAATAAAACTACCATTAGTTCCTAGTAAAACCTAGTAGGGAGGTTTAACCAGTAATTTTTAGTAGTATTTTTTACTTCTATTAGGCAGCTCCTAGTAGCTTCTAGTAGCTCCTAGTAAAAATTACTAGTAAAACCTCCCTACTAGGTTTTACTAGTAATTTTTACTAGTAGTTTTTACTTCTACTAGGCAGCTCCTAGTAGGGAGTTAATAGCATCTAGTTTTTAAAAGATCCCATGTTCTAGAAATCCTTAATAAAAATACTATTAATTCCTAGTAAAAACCTAGTAGGGAGGTTTCACTAGTAATTTTCACTAGTAGGTTATTATGTCTACTAGGCAGCTTCTAGTAGGGAGTTAATAGCATACTTTCTAAAAGCCCCTAGTTCCTAGAGACTCTTAATAAAATTACTATTAGCTCCTAGTAAAGCCTCTAGTTCCTAGCAGAGAGTTAGTAGCCCCTAGCTCCTAGTAGGTGATTAATAGCCCCTAGTTTCATAAAGACCCCTACTACTTAAAAATTCATACTTTTCAGCGGCTCTTTAGAAGGGGACCAAAAAAATTTCGCCCTAGTTCGGCCATAGATTTTCATATATTCAAATGGGGTTAAAAAATTCAAAATGGACGTGTATTGTTCTCTAAGGGACCGGTGTGTACTGAGCCCCCCCCCCCATAAAAAAAATTTAAAAGTGTATTGATGAAAAATTCGCACAGTAGTCGACTGTTTGGCTTTCACCGCGTGACTATTGCGTTACACGTTCCTCGCCCACGAGCCATGGTGACAAAAGAGCCGATATAAATTGACATCCAAGTCATGGCCATTCGCTGCACCCAGAATTCCCTCCCCCCACATTTTATTCATTTTGCTTTAAGTGAATAATTATTTTTTTTATATGTACACACATTTTTTATTGGTGGCAAATTTTTTGAAGGCGAAAATAACTTACCCATTTTTGAATGTGTCAATGTATAGGCTCGCAATGGTTTGGTGAGCAAAAAAGCCGGAACTCCAGCCTTGACCAGAGCACCTACTCTTCGATAGACACGCGCACTTCCTGTTCCATTGTTACTCGACACTATCGAGAACCATCCTGTAACAGAAAAATTTAATTTTCGATTAAATTCAGGGGAAAAAAATTATTTTTTTTTACTTTCTTCTATGAAAATGACCTCTAAAGTGAAACTTTCATTATTTTTTTTAGAAAATCGTATCAAACAAATTTTTTTTTTTAATTTTTATAAATAATTGAATTTAAGTAGAGCAAAATATTCAATATATAATAAATTAATTTTTGAAGACATTCGTTCCACTTTTTACAAATAAATAAATTTTAAAACAGTTGCATTTAAAATTTTTTTAAATAATTCAACTTTGGATGAATTTTGTTTCAATTATTATGAATAATTGAATTTTTAATAAGTTGCGTTATTAATTTTATAAAATAATTGAATTCCGAAAGAATTTTGTTTCAATTTCTTTATAAATAATTAAATTTTAAATAAGATGCGTTGTTAATTTTTAAAAACAATTAAACTTTGGAAGACATTGTTTTCATTTTTTTTATAAATAATTGAATTTTGAAACTTTTTCATTTGAAAATTTATAAAATAATTGAATTATAAAAGAATTTAGTTTCAATTCGAATAAATAATTAAATTTCATTTGAAATGCGTTCTAAATTTTTAAAAATAATTAAATTTTTGAAGATATTTCTTTCATTTTTTAAGAATAATTGAATTTTAGAAGAAACAAAATTTTCTAATGTTATAAATAATTGGATTTTTGAAGAAATTTGTTTTATTTTTTTATAAATAATTGAATTTTGAAACAGTTGTATTAGGAATTTTTTTAAATAATTGAATTTAGATGAATTTCTTTTTAATTTAAAAAAAAATTTTAATACTAAATAAGTTACGTTATTAATTTTTTTAAATAATTGAATTCTGGAAGAATTTTGTTTCAATTCTTTTATGAATATTCGAATTTTGAATGAGATGCGTTGTTAATTTTTAAAAATAATTGAATTTTGGAAGACATTGGTTTCATTTTTTTAATAAATAATTGAATTTTTGATCAGTTTCATTTACAAATTTTTTTAATAATTGAATTTTGCAAGAATTTAGTTTCAATTCTTATAAATAATTGAATTTCGTAAGAGATGCGTTGTTAATTTTAAAAAATAATTGAATTTTGATTAGAAAAATTTTTTAAAATTATAAATAATTGAATTTTTAAAGACAGTCATTTTATTTTTGATAAATAATTGAATTTTGAAACAGTTGCATTTAAACATTTTTCCGAATAATTGAATTTAGGATGATTTTCGTTTCAATTTTTATAAATATTTGAATTATGAATAAGTTGCGTTGTGAATTTTTAGAAATAATTGAATTTCAAATATATTCGTTTTACTTTTTATAAATAATTGAATTTTGAATCAGTTGCGTTTAAAAATTTGCAGAATAAATGAATTTTGAATGTGTTACGTTGTGAATTTTTAAAAACAATTGAATTCTTGAAGACATTGGTTTCATTTTTTTTATAAATAATTGAATTTTTAAAAACTTTCATTTAAAAATTTTTAAAATAATTGAATTTCGAAAGAATATAGTTTTAATTCTTATAAATAATTGAATTTTGAAACAGATGCAATTTTAAATTTCTAAAATAATTTAATTTGAAAGAATTTCGCTTCAATTTTTATAAATAATTGAATTTTGAATGAGTTGCGTTGTGAATTTTTAAAAATAATTGATTTTTTGAATACATTCCTTTGATTTTTTATAAATAATTTAATTTATTTATAAATAATTGAATTTTGAAACAGTTTCATTTAAAAATTATTAAAATAATTGAATTTTGCAAGAATTTAGTTTCAATTCTTATAAATAATTGAATTTTAAATAAGATTCATGGTTAATATTTGTAAAGTATTGAATTTTGAAACAGATGCATTTTTAAATTTCTAAAATAATTGAATTTTGGAAGAATTTTGCTTCAATTTTTTTAAATAATTGAATTTTGAATGAGATGCGTTGTTAATTTTCATAAATAATTGAATTTTGAATTAGTTGCGTAGTGGATTTTTAAAAATAATTGAATTTTAAATGAGAAAAATTTTTAATTTTTGTAAATAATTTAATTTTGAAAGACATTCGTTTCTAATTTTTATTTCGCGGAAATCGCATGCGAAGAAACATATATTCACACTTTTTTAGTAAAAAAAAATGTGCTTACTTATTATTATAGAATTCTCTTAAAATAGTTTTGATAAAATTAGGGCTAACCTGGAGTTTTTTACAAATCATAAAATTTTGATTTTAAAACAATTGATGCCCCTTCGAAATTTCAACTTTCTTCTGCGAAAATCGACTTAAAAGACGATTTTAAAAAAGAAAATTAAATTTTTTTGTAATTTTTCCTAAAAAAATCTAAAAACTTAAAAGAAATCGGTAAAAGAAGTAATTTATCTCGACTCTCAACCCCCTTTCGTGAGTATTTAATGCTTTAGCCAAAAAAAAAAAAAAAAAAAAAAAAAAAAGAGTCGGAAACAGCCAATTATATCAGTAGCCGATTAGCGCAACACTGTGCAAATAATTGGAACTGTTATCGAGTATTCGGCAACCGTGTTTCCATTATCAGGGACAATTATCTCCCTGGACCAGCAACATACATACGGCATAGGTGTAGACTCGCTCAGACAGATTCCTTTTATGTGCACTATTTTCCTAAGCCCTTCCCTCGATTTATCGCAGGAATACTATATAAACGAACCTTATAAGTAAAATGTCTTAATTAAAATCGCGGAAGCCAGATGAATCGGCGTCTCTTTATAAACATGCTTCACATATACAGTAATTCTAAAATTCCATTAGACAGAAAAAGAACTTTGACAAAAAAGAACGGAGAGGCGGAAAATAGCCATTTTTACCATCAAATTACCTTTGAATTATAGGATTATTGTTGATTCTTTTTTATATTCAAAGTGCGGAAAAACGGTTGAAGCATTGAGGGTATTTTAAAAACGCGCATATATTCAGGGTTGCCACAGGTCAGGGAAATCGGGAAATTCTGGGATAAGTTAGAGAAAGTAGAATTCGTCAGTAAAATCATTGAAAAGTCAGGAATTTTTATTAAAGGTACTGGAAAAAAATTAAATGTTTAGAATTTAGAAGAAAATTGTGAATTTTTGTGTCTTTTTGTTTGGCTCATTAACTATGAAATTACCAACAATTCTAAAAAAACTTTAATTTTTTCTATTTCTGACAATAATTTATTTTCAATATCTTAATTCTATATTAAAAAACTACCATAAAGTTATTACTTATAAATCATTTAATGAAGTATTTTTATGGAAAATTTTAATTTCAATTCTGTTGAAATTAAAATTAAATTATTAAAATTCTTTCCAGAAATTCAATTATTTTCAAATTTTTTTTTAAAATTCTCGTCAACATTTCAATTATCTTTATAAATAGTATAATTCTTCATCGGAATTCAATTATATTCAGGAAATTTTATAAAATTCATTGTAAAATTAAATTATTTACTGGAATTTTTATAATATTCATTGCAAATTTCAATTTTTTTTCATAAATATTAATATTCATCACAAGAAGTCAATTATTTTCAAAAGTAATAAAATTCAATTATTTTTAGGAATTTTTATAAAATTCATTACAAAATTCATTTATTTTCATAAATAACAATATTCATCACAAGAAATAAGAATTCAATTACTTTCAAAATTAATAAAATCCTTTGACAAAATTCAATTATTTACTGGAATTTTTATAATATTCATTGCAAATTTCAATTATTTTCATAAATATTAGTATTCATCACAAGAAGTCAATTATTTTCAAAAGTAATAAAATTCAATTATTTTTAAAAATTGTATTAAAATTCATGGGAAAATTACAATTACTTTCAAAATTTTTCTTTAATTCAATGATTTTTAATATTCTACTATTTGAATAAATTTTTCCAAAATAATTCAATTGTGAAACAAAAATTTTGATAATATTCTACACGAACATTCAATTTTCTTCCAATACAATAAAAATTCCATAGGAATTCAATTATTTAAAATAGAATTTAGGTAAATTTTTTTAAAAAAATCAAATGTTTTAAAATTTGGCATCAAAATTCTTCACAGTAATTCAATTATTTAAAAACAATTTTGACAAAGTTCTACATGAATATTTAATTATTTTCAAAAATAATAAAAATTTCATAGGAATTCAATTATTTTGAATTAAAAATAGAATTTGCATAAATTTTTCGAAAAAAATCAATTGTTTGAAACTTTTTTATAAAATTCTTTGCAATAATTCAATTATTTTCATAAATAATAACACTCATTGCAGAATTTCAATTATTTTTAATACAATTTTAATCGAATTCCCCAAAAAATGTAATTATTCTTATAAATTTGATTGAAATTCGTCGAAAGAATTCAATTATTTAAAAATGAATAAAATTCTTCGTAAAAATTAAATTATATTCAATTCTTTTAATGAAATTCTTAATTTTTCTCAGAAATTCAATTATTTTTAAAAATTAATAAAATCATCACAGGAATTTAATTATTTTCAATAATTATGAAAATTCGTCGAAAGAATTTTTTGCAAAATTATTTCAAGTTTTTATCTTCTAATGTATATTTAATTGAATAATTTCCAAATTATTAGAATTTCACTTAAAATTTAATTGCAAACAAATTAATTTAAATATTCTCAAAGAAGAAGTTTTTCAAAAATTAAGTAAATAATTAATTAATTAATAAAGTAAATAATTAATTAATTAATTAAGTTAAAAATAATTAATTTTAGTTAAAAATTGAAATAATTGAATTGAAATGATAAAAATAATTTTGAAGGAGTTACGCTATTTTTATGTTTTATAATAAATATTTTTATAAATTAATGAATTTCAAAAAGTTTGAATTTGAAGTTTTTGGAAATCTTTGTTCCCATATGAAATTTTATTTATTTGAAATCAAAACCAAGTCAACTATTAGTAACTAACTAACTAACTAACAAACTAACTAATTGACTTAGTTACCAACTAATTGACTTAGTTACGTAC